GACTATTTAATAACGTGGCCTTCCAACATTTTGACGAAAGGCGCCAATGAAGTTTCCTGGTGGACTGTACCGAGCAACGATGATTATAAAGCCGCCGTTCTTGGCAATACCAACACCGAGGCGCCTGGTTGATTTCCAAACGACCTGGAATTAGATGATATTTTCACGTCCTTGCATTGATTCTTTGAAGACTTTTTATATTTTTTTAAAGTTTTCTGTTGGTTACTGTTTGATTGTTAAATGATTTTGATTGAATTGTTATTTGATTGTCTGGTGGTTGTACAGATTTCCTTTATTTTCACAATGTCTCTCTGCTAGTTGGTTGGTTTTCTACTTGCTTAGTTCATTTATATTTTTGGTTGGTTGTTGTTTAGTGGATAGTTGGTAGGTCTTTCTGTTGTTTTGTTTCCTATTACATTGTTTTTTTTAGGTACGTGGGCCAGTAGTTCGGGGATGGGTTGATTGATGGATGGATGGATCGATCGATTGATTGATTGATTGGTGGGAACTAGCGGTAAACTAGCGTGAGCTGCGTCGGTGTTTCTAAAGAAACCTTTTGTAAAAAGATAAATTTAACACTGTAAAAAAGTATGTGAAATAACTTACTGACATTACGGACGTTAATCCCTCGTCGGAGTAAAAAGATTGATTGATTGATTGATTGATTAATTGATCGATTGATTGCTAAAGGCCGTGTCACACTGGCGTTTTTTTCGTGCAACTTGTGTCGCGTAAAAAAATGTTGAAGTTGCACGATACCATGTCACACTATCAAAATTCCGTTGCAACTTAGCTCCCACAAAAAAATGTTCAAGTTGCACGCGTAAATTGAAAATGTACGATCATCTCACTTTCTCTCTCGTTTTCTTCTTCAAAATAATCGCTTTCGCCAAAGATGGCGTCGGGCATCTTTGTTGATTATTACAACAAGTGACAACAGGACAGATTATCGCTTTCTTTTGGGTTTGTGCGCCTAATTGAAAATAATTTTGGAAGTTGCAAGAGACCATGTCTCACACGCGTTTTTCCGAAAAACGTTGAAAAAAGTAGAAGCCAGTTCTACTTTTCTCTCAACAAAAAAATGAAATGATCGATTGATTGCTTAATTGATTGATTGATTGATTGATTGATTGATTGATTGATTGAAAGGTGGATCAATTAGCTAGTTGGTTGGTTCATTGGTCGGCTGGGTTTTTGTTCGGGGTGGTTGGTGAGTGTGTTCGTTAATGGTTTAATGTATTTCGTTCAAATCAACATCACATGTACATACCTGAGTGAAGTGTCCCGTTTTTCCTGAAAATCCTGGTCTTGAATACGAATAATATTTCACTTCGTCATACCTAGTGTGAAGCAAATCATTTTAGTATAAACCAGACCTAGATCCTCTCGGTCAAACAACCACAGGAATACCGACATTTACTTACCAGTCCTTTGTAGCTTGTGCGCACGTATACTTTACATCGCTACCCCACGCCTGTCGCATCGCCAAGTTTTCTCCATATGATCTAATGCTAGAATGCCTCATTGACTTTGTCCTTGCTAACGTTACGGCGTATGCTTGTGCCTCATGAGCCATAGCCGAGTCCCATTCTAGCGGTGGTGCACCGTGACGGGCGCGATAGGCATTATGGGCCCGTAGGCATTCTCGGACGTTGACTGACACTGGATCTTGAAACACA